TGTATTGATACAGGATCATCAATATCTATAATTGATTCACAAATATTGAATGAAATAGGTCCACATGCTAAAATAGAGCCACCGCCGTCTATTGTACTACAAACAGTGAATTCAACAAGTCATCCTATAGGTAAAACAAGATTAAATGTCGCATTTGTCAACAAAACAAATTCGACAATCTCATCAATACCAATTGAGTTTATCATTATTTCTAATGCTCACACGAAAATAATTATCGGCTATGATTGTGTATTAAAAAATGGTGCAAAATTAAATCTTGTTGATGGTCATTTTACATTAAAGGATTCAAAAAGTGGTTAAATACCATTTATTGTGCATGATGACAAACAACACTTTCTAGAGCAGCAGTCGCCACATTTTATCACGAAATCATTTGATAACAAAGGAAATTTAAAAAAACCGTTACCTAATGTAGAAACAACAACACCCTCGACACCAGAAACAGGATCTTCTCGAATTCATGGTAAAAAGTCATCGATAATTACATCATGCACTTTTATTATACGTCCATTCCATCGTGCATTAGTACCAGTATTAGCTATTAGTTCAATTGAAACGAAACATGCATTAATTGAATCAACCTTTATACGTGATGGTGAAGTCTTAGCAAGAGTGGCGAATACAGTAGTTAAATCAAATCACAAGATACATCATGTTGAGTTAATTAATTTGGAAAACCGTCCATTATTGTTAAAAAGAAGTGAACAAATAGCAACAATATCAACATTATTAGACTCATCGTCAATATTTTTATCAAAAACATTTACATCAACAGCAGTTAATACAATTAACCATGTTCGGAGTAATGATAATGATGATGATGAATTAGATAAACAAATATTTTTAGATGCTTTAAGATCAACAGATATAAATCCACAACTGTCAATGGAACAAAAACTATTGGTCATAGATATACTACTTAAAAATCGAAAAGCATTCGCATATGGCGATCGAAAAATAGGCTGTACAAATATTCATAAAATGAGAATTGAAACTGGTGATGCAGCTCCAGTATCAAAGCCACCTTATCATGCTTCACACGCGAACGACGGATAATTGAAAATCAAATTATAAAATTAGAACAACAAGATATAATTGAAGATTCATCATCAGAATGGGCATCACCAGTTGTTCTTGTAATGAAAAAAGACGGAACAGTTAGGATGTGTGTCGATTACCGCAGATTAAACAGTGTTACCAAAACAGATCAATATCCCATTCCTCGTATGGAGGATATATTAACTCATTTTTTACAAAAACAATAGTTCTCAACATTTGATTGTAACAAAGGTTTCCATCAGATTGAATTAGCAACAGATGATGATAAACAGAAAACAGCATTTCGTAGCCATTTAGGGCCGAAACAATATAAACGTATGCCATTTGGTCTTAAGAACGGTAGTGCTATATTTCAACGTGTTATGGATAAAATTTTGAAACAATATAATTGGAAGTTAGCATTGGTTTATGTTAATGACCTAATTGTATCAAGTGTTACATTTGAAGAACATTTAGATTATTGTGATAAAATATTAAAATTATTAATAGATGCAAATATAACTATGAGTTTAAAAAAATGTCATTTATTTCAACAACATGTGCAAGCATTAGGTCATATTATATCTAATTTAGGTTTATCAACATGTGAAGAAAAGGTTAAAGCGGTAGCTAATTGGAAAACACCCAAAAATCAAAAACAACAATTTTTGAGATGCAACAATTTTTGGGGTTAGCTACATACTATCGTCGTTTTATAAAACATTTCGCCACAATAGCAAAACCATTGACAAGATTATTAACTAAAGATAAACCGTTTATTTGGACAGATGTAGAACCAGCTGCATTTGAAGCATTAAGAACTGCATTAATTACGGCTTCAGTTTTAGCACAGCCAAATTTTAGTCAACCATTTCGTCTTTATACGGATGCAAGTAACGTTGGGATAGGTGCTATTCTTGGACAAGTACAAAATGATGATACTGAACGCGTTATTTGTTATATATCAAGACAATTAAATGCAGCTGAACAGAATTATAGCGCCACTGAATTAGAATGTTTAGCTATTGTCTGGTCATTAAACAAATTACATACATATTTAGATGGTTCGAAATTTGAATGTATTACAGATCATAGTGCATTACGATGGTTATTTGACTTCAACGGGCATAATAAACGTTTATTAAGCTGGTCACTCAGTATACAAAATTACCGTGATACAATGAAAATAGTTCATAAACCAGGTAAAAAACATAATAATGTTGATCCATTATCTCGTAATCCATTACCAGTAATTAATAATATAACATCAATCTCACTATCACCAGAAGTTAAACAACAATTTGTATCCTCTTATTTGCAAGATGATTATTTCTTAAATATTATCGAATTAATTAAACAAGATGGCTCACCATTAATAAAAGAAATAAAACAGAAAATTAAAGATTATTTATATCAGGATGGTCTGTTATATTACTTTGATTCAGAAACAAAAAGTTATCAGTTATGTGTACCAAGTAATTCAGATTTAAAATTAAAGATATTACATGATTCACATGATGCACCTGTGGCGGAACATTTTGGTTATTACAAAACATCTATGTTAATCAAACAATCTTATTATTGGCCTCGTATGTCAAGGGATATAAAAAAGTATGTTTTTAGCTGTCAGTCATGTCAACGAAATAAAGCTATGAATCAACAACCATTTGGTCAACTGCAGTCATTAGCTATACCAAAAGGGAGATGGGAACAAGTGACGATGGACTTTATTGTTGGCTTACCCAAGACAGCAGCTGGTCATGATTCAATTATTGTTTGTATTGATCGGCTCACAAAACGAGCTTATTTTAAACCAAATAAATTTCAGGCAACTGCAGTTGACACAGCGACACTTTTCTTCGAAACAATATTTCGTCATCATAGTTTACCGAGAATTATTATAAGTGATCGTGATCCTAAATTCACAAGTTTATTCTGGCAAACTCTGTTTACTTGTATAGGAACAAAACTTTCATTATCAACAGCATTTCATCCACAAACAGATGGACAAAGCGAAAGATTAAATAGAACTGTAGAAGAAATGTTACGGCATTATGTAACACAACAACCAGAGAAATGGGATGAAACATTAACACAAATAGAATTTGCTTATAATAATTCGATACAAACATCGACAGGTTTTAGTCCATTCTTTTTAGACACGGGCCGTCATCCACGAATTACTGAACAGTTAACATAGCCAATAACACCGCAACAAGATGCATCACAAACAGCAACTGACTTTTTAAACGATATGCAACAAAATCTTGAAGCTGCACAAAATTCAATATCAAATGCTCTACTTAAACAAGCTAAATATTATAATAAGAAACGTCAAGCAAAACAATTTCAAGTTGGTGATTACGTTTTGCTAAATACAAAATGTTTAACGTTTAAATTTGATGAACAAAAACTACCACGAAAACTAAGACCAAAATATTTAGGTCCGTTTGAAATTGTAAATAAGTTATCACCGTTGGTATATGAATTAGACTTACCACAAAATCTCAGAATACATCCAATAATAAATATATCATCATTAAGACCGTTTGTTTCAACACCAAAAGAATTTCAACAACGAGTAATCAATCCGCCAATAACAATCACATAAAAAGATGGGACATCTCTTGTCTCACGAGAGAGATAGTTGTAACGATCGAAAAGAGACAAACTCAAAACATTCTCAAATATTCATAGCGCCATACTACTAGTTGTTACAGAAATGAAATAGTCTAGTTGAAAAGACGAATCAGTTTTACAAACATAGAAATAACGGTCAAATCTTTCTTAATTTAGTTCTAATTTAGTTTCTCTTGTTATCGAATTCTTCTCTTTACTGAAGATTAAGATAAATAAAAAAATATCGTTACAGTGCCAGTCAAGAAATTAAATATTTCAAAATTTTCTTACTCAACGCTTTTTCATTTTCCAGATAACAATTTTTCTTCTTTTGGTTTAGTGGTGGGGCGAAGCATGTAAGAAGCATAATTCATTCGCTTTCGCTCTTTCAATATTCGTATATCGAAAAAGAAAAAGAAATTTATGACTGACGGTCTGTTTCGTAAAAACACATAAAAATACAGGTTATATCTAAAGAAACAGAGCAATTTCACAACGAAACCAACGAAAGACGCTTCTTACCGTATAAATAAACATATTCAAGATGGCTGCTAAATCGCTTGTTCACGTAACTCGAGACTTCGTTAATGAAGTTTTTGAAAAAAATATTTTAGAGTAGAACTGACAGTAGCATATCACTAGATGCAGTTCTTGGCGCCGATTACGAAATTCACATTATTTTTTAAAAAAGTTAATTTCGGCACCAAAAATCCAGTTTTACATTTTTGAACACTTTAATTTTATTTTCAATTTCCTTACCTAGATCCCATGTAAATATTTTTCAATCCCAGACGCGTCTGAAAACGCGTTTTTTGCTGCGTTTAATCGCTCCGAAAATGCACCATTTGCTAGCGTTTAAACGCGTTTTTCCTAGACGCGTTTAAACGCGCTTTTTCTTTTTTTAAAAATATACTTTTAAAAATATTTTTTGGAGGTATTTTTAATTACTAGCTAAGGTTTCATTGTCTACTGGCCAGCAGAGTGTGTGTCGATATGAGAAAAGCTTGACTTACTAGAAAGAAGTGCATATTGGATGATAGTGCCGTCGACGGGATTCGAA